AATGCTATAGGTTTTTATAAGGAATCAATTGTTTTTTTTTTTTGGTTGCTCATTCTCTTCAGTCAATTAACACAAACTAATAGTTTGTAGGGATTTGTACAGCTTGAAAATAATTCTTACTTTTGATAGTAATCAGTTGAAGAATCGATGCAAATCAGGGAACATACTTTGTTGTGCTACTGATGTCGACGGATATAAGTAGTATGTATCATTAATCAAAAGTGAAATGTCTGGTGGCAGAAGGTTAAGAAGATTAAAGGAAAGAGAACGAGAACAGAGGATGATTAGTTGGGAAATAAAAAATTATTATGAAGTCTGAGACGACTGATTGACATTTTGCAAATCAATTATATACTGTATGGTCTCAGATTTTACTAAGATGTTCTGTAATTTTATATTCAAATACATTCGATTGTCCCCACTTGTGTTCTCGTTCACCACAATACTAACTAACTAATCAAATAAAGCATAACAAAATGTAACACATTAATCGTTGAACAGTACTTCAAACAACTTATTAATAAGAATTAATTGTATAATAATGAGAAACTGAAAAGAACCTCGCCATTTAATGAAACATTTTGATGTAAATGTCGTAACATTTTTTCTGTAGAGATAAAGTTAGTTGATTTTAAATATTTTCACAAATTCTTTCAATAGATGAGTTATCCGCCTCTATATGAACCCACATAAACATACCATTATTACTGTAGCGTTAATACGCTATGTAAGAATAATTAGAAATAACTTTATGATTTGAATTCCATAAATCGTGGTCCATTAATCAGAAATCTGCTATTTAGCTTTATATCAAGAACGTCCGAATTATGTGTTTGAATCATTAATGCACTCTGCTCTCGTATTTCATTTAAATATTCAAATCAGCAAAATAGTTCATTCAACCATGGTATTTGGCTTTCTAGTGTTTTAATTGGTTGTTTAGGAAACATGCAAACTTATGTATTTATTTTGTATTAAGCCCATTCCACTACTGTATTATTTATCTGCTCACTGTAATTTAGACACTTAATCCACTATGTAAATTTCTGCGTGAGTCTGATTGAGCACATGTCTGCACATCAACTTTAATCTATTCTCCCATCGGTTGCAATACATAGACATCCAATAATTTATCCACACTTGATTATGACTCATAAATACATAAGGATTTTTAACACCCATATAGGCACACACACTCTTGGTTTCCCTGTGTGCTTACGGATTTTACCAATTTTTAACAATAAACTAGCCGTTTGAACTGTTGTCACAATGTTCTTGCATCACATAAGGTATATATTTACAATATTCAATCTATTAAATTTATTTACACCCTTGCTACACCATACTATACAAATGTCTTCAATATAACTTCCAATCAAACTCTTTTATGTAAGTAATTTAAACCCATTAATTGATTCTAAATATCAGGTTGCAAGCAGCTGACGAGAACCAACGAAATAAAAATGAATTCATGCTATTCTGCTAGAATGTTTGTTCTTTCTCTTTTCAAAATGATAAAGGGAACTATGTGTATAATAAACTATCTCTATAACTGATGTTCGGGCGTTTGAATAATCTCGAGTAAATGCATAATTCTACTAGGAGATTTAGCCTGCATTAAATATTCAGTTAACGGGATACAATTTATTGGAGTCAGATATAGAAGAAATTTGATCTTATGTGGAATACAGTAACAGTAGGCCTGTTGTTAGTGAAATTGATAGGAATACAAAATATTATGATTATTTCACTCAGTTTATATTTTCTGAAGAATAATATGATTTAGGTCACTATACTAAACTTTGGAAGCATTATCAAACATAGCGTATTTCTTTTTTGGTTATTCCTAAACAATGCATATGCATCTGACTAATTCTTTACCATTCGCATTCCAGCTAATACAGTGAGAAGAACATGTGAGGATTGTCGATCGATTTGCCCATCGTATTCATATTGCGTAAATACGATGAATGGAATCAGTTGTGCATGCAGATTTGGATGGAAAAAAGTAGGAGGATATAGTCGTTCAGAGTATTGTACATGTAAGTTATTAACGAGCTTTTTATAAAAACGAAAGGATATCTGAGCTCAACCCTAAGTGCAGCTATAATATCATATAAAAGTGTAATCCTTGAATATACTAAATTATATGCCCACTAGTTAATGGTTTTTAAATATTGGCCAAATGAAACCTTTGAAACCGGAAATGTGTTAATTACTAAGCTCCACTAAACAGTTAACATACAAATGAAACTTACTAGTTGGTGATAATGCAGTAACATGACACTGAATAACAAACTGGACAAACTAGATTACGATACTTAGTAAAACACCATATTATTACGTCACTAGGTTGTGCCACATGATACACTATTCCGGCCAAGTTTTATTAACTTGAATGCAGGCAGCCAACATTAAGTGCAACTCAGAATAGAAATTAAAGTTAAAATACAGATAAACATATTACTAAGTACAGAGTGGGCATGTACCTTCGCTAGGTAATCAATCACAACTTACTTTCACGAAACATATCAAACAAATAAAAAACAGGAGGTATGAGACTGAAGTTTTATCTCGTCATGATTCGAATCGTGCCCATTCATCGAACTAACGGGAATTGAACCCAAGTGGTTGAGTAAAACTAAACAAAGAAATCACAAGTTCCTTCCATTTTCTATTTCATTGAGCGATTGCATTAAAAACGCGTATCAAAAATATCATCAAATAAATCATGATACATTTATGAAATTTAAAATATAGCACATTTGATACCAATCATTATTATTATTATTACAAAATACCCTATGTTATCTTCTTTCAAACTGCTTTATGCTTTTTTCTCCAATATAGTACATCCGATTTCAATAATTCTTCTGGTTATTTGCTTACTACTACTGCTAATACTACTTATTTTGGCTGTGTATTTCTCAAAAAGGATCACTATAACAAGATATCTAAAACGAGTTCAAAATAAAACATAATACACTGGGAGGAAACTCTGGTACTCGGTTCTGTTTACAGTTCTCCATAACAGTACACAATTTTTATTTTTAAGTAGATAGATATACATGATATTGGTGAACCATGTTTCATTCCACCTTAATTTTAACTGCTACTCCCAAAACAATCTTATTGTGAGTATCTCAATTAAATACTATTTTTGTTAAAAGTAAACCTAAACAACAAGGATTTTTAATGAACTATTGTTATTGTAATTACTATTATTATTATTATGGTAGTAACATTAATACATTTTTGCATTATGGATTGGATTTAATTTTAAAAAATAAGCAAACAGAAAACCGGAACTATTTACATATAGTCATCCAAAAAGTTCTGTAAACTGTAAAGAAACCAAATGTTCTTGTTCAGTGTACACATCACCCCTTTCAAAATAAACTTACTAATCTCGACCTATTAGTATCATCAGTAACCATTTATTATTAATTCTAACTAGCCACACAAGTTACGATTATCCAAGTAAAGCTAATGGACATTAAGATTCAGGCAACCTACCATTTCCCTCTGGTTATCAGCTTGCTCGACGTGTGAAAAACAATGTGTTTTCTAATTTATTAAATTTTCACAAATTATTTAGTTGTACAGTCCATCCAGTTTCAAAATTAAGTTTCAGGATTGAAACTGGGACTCAATGCAGAATTTATAATTCATTAGATGATAACATAATACATGGCTAACTTTTCAGCAATACATTGATATAAATGAAATAATACGTCCTATCCCGTTTTTAATACAGATTACATCTCTATCAAATGTATAAAAGCATTTTCTGAGGATAAAACAAACTATTATTTATTTATAATTGATGAGCTTTGGCCAGACATTTATACGGAAACAACATCAAGCAACTGGATTATTTAGTTATTGATTTCCAATATAAGAATTATATTAATTAATTCTTCTAATTTAAGTCCAAACGATTTATACTATTACTTTTTAAGAAAAAGTTTCTTGATCAGAATAAGTAGTGATACTGTATTCAGGGGACTATATACAATACATCAATATCATTACTCCTAAATTACCAAGGACTGGAAGAATTTGCGAGTAATAATTATTATAGATATAAAATCAACCTCATCAACCTAAACGAATGACTAATAGGTTATTCTCTGGAGGAGAAATATGTGTATCCAGTGATTGGGAAACACACACATATATATCGGAAAATTATTAGGAAGATATGTGAAAGTGAACTCTATACACTGGCTGAAATGAACAGAGAAATAAGGTATATTTTCTCTCTTAACTTTTGAAACTAGTGGGACGGAGGATAGAATTGAGCAAAAGTTGTGAACTATACACAATCCTATGTTTGTAGCAAACAAATCTACAGGTTTCTTTATAACGAAAAGCTTGATAATTAGAAGTATGTAATTGTTACAAATACCGATTTTCACAATATCTAAGAATTTAGCATCGAAAATGTAGTGAATAGATGGAGTTAATCTGAGAGATTATATTTTCCTGTAATACATTTCGAATAAATTAATGAAGAACTTACTTGCCAAGGGAAAGTAAAGAATTCAGTAAAGTATGGTGACTAAATCAGTAAATCCCTTCTTCTCAGATCAAAGTTCATTCGATTTATTTTAGAACTATTGGTTTCTAAGTAGTAAAAAAACATGTGCATACAGTACAACTAAATGTGAACCGAGAAAATATTTACAAAGAAAATATTCTGACAATTTACAGACCAAAAATGAACTTTCATTTGTGAATCACAGTATTTAGATATGATTAAATATAGTATATGCAGTAATATAACAGTATAGTAAACTTGAGACAATTTCTTTCATGATTTTGAAGAAAAACAAACTTGAAATTTAAGCTTTTGAACCAAGACAAGGAAAAAGAAAAAGCATGAACGTCAATTGAAGATTTTATTTACAAATTAAATTTATGAATTATTTACAGTAACTATCAAATGTTTGGCTGTATTCAGCTTATCAGATGATAATGATAATAATGATAATTTGTTAATAATCTGCAGAAGACAAGAAATCTTTACGACCCAGATTAATAGCAGCTTTATTCTGCATTGCTTCTAATTTTGGACAATGTGTTATACGATGACCTAAACCACCACAATATGCACAGCCAACTTCACCACCCATTTCAAGTTCAACTTCAGTAGCTGATGCCAATTCAACAAGAAATTCTGGCACAGGTTGATTAGCCTCTATGAGTAAATGCTTTAAATCTAATAAAGTGGATTCATCCACTGATTTGTTGATAAATGTTGTGGCCAACCCACGTTGATGACCACGACCAGTACGACCGATGCGATGTACTAAAATGAACAAGAGAAAACAACACAAAAATTAGTCGACTAATTATACTTTTAAGACTGACACTAGTTTCTAGTACTACGTACAATTATTATAAATTTTTGAAACTGCCAAGAAAATCAGACTTCATGATATATGTGTTTTCATTAACCAACCTGCTTTTATAACCATGAGCAAATATATCATGAATAAAAAGATATCGAAGAAACATGTAACTTCCACTGATCTGTTCAGTGAATTATTGATGACGAGGGAGTAAGAACTGAGATACCAGTAGATAAATCATTTATTTAGCTGTAAAACAAGTTATGGTATCCTCCTAATAGACATCATAACAACTGTTAATTAGTAATGAGCCATATAAAATGTGAAGGATTAGATAGTCATAAATCTAGATTTTAATAAGAAATTCAATCCAACTCTGTTTCCGAGTTCACTTTCATGTACTTGGCTTTTAGACAAATTACTTTTATTTACAGTAAGCAATACTACTAGGCCGACAATAGAGAAGTAGGTTGACAAGGGTTTGAACTGAAAAGCCAGTAACTGAATGTCAATTGCTTTAGCCATTAAGCCACCACTACTCACCACACTATATCGCACCTATATTTCAGAAGCAAAAAGTCTATCGATGATCAAAACATCATGACTTATCAGCATTCAATGTCAACTTTAACGTTAAAGACTCAATAGGGAAGGAAGAAATAATGAATAGAAAGAAGATTAAGAGTGATCAGTTACTTCACATAATGGATTTATGATGCTGTGAAAGCAGATGATTATTATAGATGGTTTATTGCGTGTCTTGGTGCATATGAGGAATTTCTTTCATATCCCTAATATTTCCATCACTTCAAAAAGTAAGCATTGTAACAAATATATTGTAAATAAATCACTCAAGTGAGTATCTTGTTAGTATTTACAAAATATAAATTCCTAGTATAAACAACCACAGTGTCCAGTTGTATTTACATTATGCATGCCGCATAACTTTGTCTAAGGAAAACCATGTATTTAATTACAAATAAACATGTTAGTAATAATTACTGTTAACTTCATATAAAGAGTTTATCTATGGTAGTTATTTTGTTTGTAAACTGTTGAATCTTCCCGCTGTTGATGTTAGGGATTGAATTTTGATCAATCTCTTTTGAAACATGTGTTTCCTGAGCAGATTGCCTCAATATTACCATTGAGTCATAAGTATCTTAGGTAAAGAAGGACATTGATCAGTAGAGGAATTCAGGATGTTTTCTGTCATAGTTGGAACTCGTCAGATAGAGGTACTTAGATGGTGGAGAAGATTTGTAGCTCAGGTGGATGATTTTGGTGGAGTTTTGTTCTCTGAGCTGGATGGTTTGGTCGTGGAGCTTTCATCGTTCTTCTGAACGACATCATCAGCACAAACTTCAGATAGAAGTGAAGTGTTTGAATTTCTCCAAATGTGTCTCAAAGCTTGTTCTGTGCACCTCGACGTTGATTGGTACTTATTGACTTACAATTGTGGTGGACAAAATTGCTTATGAATAGCATGAGCCGAAACGTGGAGCCGAAGTTGTCACAGACGTAAGACGAAAACAGTTTCGGTACATCAAAAGCACAGCATAAGCAGGACAATTGATAACCACACGAGAAGACAGTTTAGAACTAACTAGATTGCAGAGCACACCGCAAGATGCAAATGTATGATCGAAGGCTATGCATATGTATTATATAAACGCTTTGTAATTTCCCTCAACAAACAATCCTTTAACTTATCGTCTTGTTCGATATCAGCACATCCTAGAGTCGATATTTATTCCAAGACTCGGATCCAGTAACCTTTCACTTCAAATGCCCAGCGTATTACCCAATGACCTACTAAGTTCAACTTTTACTTAGAAAGTAATTTCATCAAATTATTATCAATATTAAACTAACCATAATTTTCAATATCTTCAGGCATATCATAGTTGATCACGTGATTAATTTCTGGAAAATCCAAACCTTTACTAGCCACATCTGTAGCAACTAAGACATCACGATGATGAGCTCTAAATTCTGTAACAGCTGATACACGTTCATCTTGATCTTTTCCACCATGAATACTAACTGCTTCAACACCTTTCAAAAGAAGATATTCATGTATAGCATCCACATCTTGTTTACGCTCAGCAAATATAATAACCTGTTTTAAATTTTAAAAAATTACTTGATAACATTTTAAAACTGAAATAAAATATAGAAATATATTTTTGTATCAAAAACTAGCAATGAATTGTAAACATTAAGTAAGAATATTTCAATCACTAATGATATCAATCAATATGTTATTGGATGAGCTCCAGTTCATTGAAAACAATGTTAGCCAAGCTCCCAATTAAAAGCAAGCGAATTAAAGTAACAAAAAATTATGATTATACTGAAAACTAAATAACCAAAACAAACAACAAATTTTTTATAAATAAATCAAAAGTTTGATGAAATTAGAAAATTTTTATAACTTTATGAACCAATGGAAGTAACTAACTTCTAGAAAGTTTAGATACATCTTATCCAAGAACATTTGGACATATTATATACATAGTCAAACTCTTTGTGAGTTATACCCCAGAACTTTAGGTTTTATTGCTTCCATATGGCATACTATTTAACGACTCTCGAAATGAATAGTAAAAATGGAGATGGGTTGAGTTTGTGCATGACATGGCACCATGGTACAGAAGATAACTATAATAGATTGCTATCTGTCAGATTATCACGAATACCTAGTTGTGATTTTAAAATTCATCCAACTCAATGACTTCAGGTACTCTACCAGACATAGCTCAAAATAAAAAACCAGTGGCGATTCAGCTGTAATTTTTATGCTCCATTACAGTGAGACAAATAAATACTCAAGTTGTACACTGTAAACAACTGACAAATTATGAAAAAAGAATTCACATTGTATATTCATATGCTTAACAACTAGGCGAAATGTTTATTTATTAGATAGTAAGACTGAATATACTTTTTGTTATCTTAGTTATAAAAATCCCTAGTGTAATTTTGAACTAACAATAGATGAGGCGTAACAACCAGTACTTACTTATCTTTGACAGGTGGATAGGGTCTGTTATTTTATTTTAGTTACGAATAGAATATTTTTAAAGACAAATTTTAAACAAGATAGGTAAATGTTTGTGCACACATAAATAAGAACAAAAAAAGCGATTCAGAATAAAGTGAACAGACCACCGTGGTTTGAAAAGTTACAAAGATTTATATTATATATCAAAACGAGGACGGGGATCAGTTTGCAGTGGCGACAGTACAAAAACGCTGATATAAACACTTAAAAATGTGCCTTAAAAGTTGACAAAATATGTTTGCTTATTCTTTACCTTATTTTTGTATAAATTTGAGTTTATTGCCTTTGCTTTAGTGGAGTACTTATACAGAATTTTAACAAATGTAATTTAAAAAATAAACCTCTTTGATAAATAAGGTAACACTTAGAAATGCTAACCAGTAATATATATATCAAAATAAGAGGAGAAAGCTTACAGGAGGTGGAGTTTTTTGTAAAGCATCAAGTAAATGAGGAATTTTCGCTTCATGTTTCACATATTCTACTTCCTGAGTGACATTCATACTAGCTGCTCCAGCTCGACCAACATTAACAGTAACGGGTTTCACCAAGGCTGATTTAGCGAAATTTTGTATTTTTTTCGGCATAGTAGCAGAGAACAAAAGTGTTTGACGTTGTCCCTGAATAATGGCATTCAATATAATATGGGTACAAAACAATTAGTTAATTGTTACATTGCATTTCAATCAGTAAAATATTATTGTGCAGAAAGTTTACGTAGATGCTAAAAATTTAATTTAATTTATTTCTTCAATAAAAAAGGCTGTTGAAATAAGTCGATTATCCACTTAATGAACCTACATGGCCTTATGCAGGTCAAGCAGACAAATGTATACACATAAAAGATTTCTAGTTGTTTTCCAGTTTTCTCGTTCACACCACTAGTTGGCGTGTATATCTTAATTGGATGTTGTGGAACGTAACTAATATACTCTTGATTCAGCTAATTTCAATCTACATAATGTCTATGCAATAATTATATATATATATATATATATATATATATATATATATATATATATATATATATTGATGAATGAAAAAAATTTAATTTCTTACCTTAAAATAGGAGAATATAGTTCGGACTTCTTCTTCAAAACCCATATCAATCATTCTGTCAGCTTCATCCAAACAAGATAACGACATACTTCTAAATTAATCATTTTACGTTGAAGTAAATCTATTAAACGACCTGGTGTAGCAACCAAAATATGAACACCAGATCTTTTAACAATATCTGCTTGTTCTTTAACAGCCATGCCACCAATACATAAGCAACAACGAATAGACGGGAAACCAGCTTTGACTAAACCATCAATAAGGCTACAGATTACTTCATGTGTTTGTCGAGCTAATTCACGCTAGTATAGAAGAAATAGTATTATTTAATACTTACAAAGATCACTCCCTAATAATTTATTAGAGATTTATTACAAAAAATAAAGAATTATTTAACACAATTTTAGTAAACAATAAATTTTTTACGATCTTCATAAAACAAATTCAACTGAGACGAGTAATTTCTTGTCAGTATTATGTTCAATTACAATATATAGATTCATAATCTTTGAGTAGTAACTGTAAATATTGGTAACAACAACAGTGAGTTACCTATTTCTAAAATCACAATAGAGTTCTAACTGTATGAACATTTCAAACAGTTCTAAATGCTTCAAATGTATTGGGTACAAGTGAAACTAGTTATCTATAAAATAATAGTCACCTGAGTTCAAAGTGTTGATAAAAATGAAAAAGTTATTTACTACTTTTAAAATTCCAGATAAATTTACACTTAAATAAACAAACAAATACTCCACCTATAAAAACGTTCTTACAAGGCTAATGATTAATAAACAGAAGTAGATGCGAAATCTTCAGCTACATAGGTTTTATTGGTAGAAATTCTTAGACATTAGTTTAATACTTCCTATCACATATCAGCAACCTATGTAAGCGACCTTCCTAATAATTATTTATTTATTTATTTGAACACATAAATATTGGTACGAAAGGGCGCCAAATATATATGCGCCAGACAAAACAATGGGAATTTAAAGAGGAGAAGGAAAAAAGGTGAGGAGCGTAAAAAAAAGAACAATAACGAACAGAATATGGTAAGGTAGCGTGATAATAATAATAATAATAATAATAATAATAATAGTAATAACAATAATAATGATGGGGGAAACGAGAAGGTACAATCAGGAGAAATCTTTCAGTTAAAGAAGAAGCAACCACTTTTTATGAAGAAAATAAAAGGTTACAGCAGGATCGCCACTGGCTTCTATTCTGAGCCATATCTGATAACGTCTCTAGCCACTGTGTTGCACCATCTCTAGGACCCAAGGCCAGGGAGTCGTGTAGGACCAACAGAAGCCAGCCGCTTGTAGCTTTCTTTCATACTAAGACACCATGTCATACACTGACCACCTCTCCGCTTCTTTCAACCAGTCCCACCGTCGGCAAATAATGCACGACGTGGAATTCTCTGGGACGACATTCGTAGAACATGTCCAAGCCACCGAAATCCATGTTTCAGAATAGTGACACCAATTGGATTATCGTCTCTGCACCCGAACACACGATGCCGAACCTCTACATTACTAACATGGTGTTGCCACTGGATGTAAGCAATCCTTCGGAGACAGCGATGATCAAACACAGAGTCGTTTAACATCCTCAACTCGGAGAGGCCAGGTTTCACAAGCATAGAGCAAAACTGCTCTCACCGACGCGTTGTAGATCCAACCTTTTACAGCCAGACTAACATCACGAAGGCGCCAAAGGTGGCCCAGATTGGCATAAGCCGCTCTGGCTTTCACTATTCGTGCGTTGATCTCATCACTCACGCAACCACCAGCACTTATGCAGCTACCTAGATACACGAACTTCTCGACTACTTCTATCTGCTCGCCATCCAGAGTGAGTACAGGATTAGGATCCTGCGAGTCTTGTAGAAGTACTTTGCATCTCGAAGGTGCAAAGCACATACCATACCTACGGACATTGATTGCCAACTGATTAAGTGCGGATTGCATGGCTTGGGCATTATCGCGCAGTAAGACAATATCATCCGCATACTCAAGGTCGAGAAGTCTTTCTCCAGGCAACAGGTCCACACCGCCATTACTTACATCCATCAGAGCTGTTTCCAGGACGTCGTTGAAAGCAAAGTTGGAGAGGAATGGTGAGATTGTGCAACCCTGTCTAACCCCACTGCTTGAATGGAACAATGGAGATAGGTGGTTGTATGCCCTCACTGTGCCTGAGGTGTTTGTACATAGGGCCTTTAGGATGTTAATAAACTTCTCAGGCACACCGTTCTTCAATAGACAATCCCAGAGAACAGCCCTGTCCAACGAATCGTAGTAGACTTATCCCCGATAGTTATTAAAGGAACGTTGGTACACTCTTCAGTTCCCAGACCTTTGTAAACAACGTCGTCAGTCCCTTAGTCAGAAAGTCACCACCATCTTCCTGGTCCTTACGCAAGCTTTTCCCGATTTTCTTACTGTTATGACCTTGATCTGTCTACTCTACATTAAGACCTTGACGCAATAGGCTGATCGGTTTAACCTTGAGGCTAGTGAGCGTGAGTTCGAGGCGGGGTAGAGAGAAGAAAACTACTCTACCACCTGATTGGCTGACAAGCACGGTAATGAGAGAAGACAAGACAACCGGAACACTATTCACTCTATTCCGATATACTGATTTCCTGTGAAATCTCTGAATTCAGATTAGTGTAAAAAGGTACATGAATAAATAGGTGATTTACCCGACCACAACGTGCAATAATTTGGGAAAATACAATTATATCCAAAACTGGGAATTAGAGTAGGAAATAAGGTGCAAAATATTATGTTTAAATTACAATAGCTTCGGGAAAAAAGGGGTATGGCAATGAATGGTACATCGAACGAAAGCTCATGTTCTGTAGAATAAAATAGGGACAAAAATAAATGTCAGTGTTTTACAAGCTTTGAATAAAATGAAATAACGTCCCGAAAAATAGCTTTCGTAGTTTGTCAGGGCTTCTTGTTCCCCTGTTCACATCACTTACGTAACATCCTTCGTTTGTGGTCAAACTCACAGTCACCCGGAGTAGACTGACGGGCTTCGATGAGTTGTAAGGAGCCTGGAGAAACCCAGTGCTTATAAGCGGGACGTTTCGCGAAGCCGCAAGCGGCTTTACACGCCATTTTCATGGCGTCATGCAATTGCAACCAATGCTCATCTATACTTTTCGGTGGGATGGTAGCTAGCCTAGAAGCTAGCTCGGTTCGATACTTACTAGCAACAGAAGTTGCAACCAGCTTGCTAATATCAATCCGTTGATGGCGGTCACTTCGTTGTCCACTGAAAAGTAAGGCAAGATTGGCGCAGACCAAGGCATGGTCAGAGTCCAGATAGGTACTCCAAAAGGAGCGGCAGTCTTGTACACAACCACGCCAGCGGTAGCTGATCGCGATGTGATCAATCTGAGTCCAGGCTTGAGATGCAGAGGGAGGACGCCAGGTGGCACATCGGCGATGACTGTGCCGAAAGTTAGTGCTAGCCAGAAACAGGTTGTGGTCTGTGCACAGTTGCAGTAGACGGTCCCCGTTATCTGACCTGCGACCAACGAGTCCCCATCGGCCACCTAAACGACTCTCTTCTGTGCCTAGACGCCCGACCTGAGCATTCAAGTCTCCGGCTAGTACTACAATATCTGTCGAACGCACTTTCTGGAGAAGAACAGATAACTGGTGGTAAAACTCATCCTTGATTGCATCCGGGCTGCAATCTGTCGGGGCATAGGCGGAGATGACGAAAAGACATCGTTTCTCACGCCGATTTCTTCTCACTTTGATGGAACTTTCTAATCTAACAGCACATAACCGACTGTTAATGGGGATCCAATCGACTAGTGCTGCCTCAGCTCTAGCGCTTAGTGCGACACCAACGCCAGCAAGACCAGACGAAGATGCCACAGGGTCCCCGGATAAGCGCACGTAAAACAAGCTTTTCGAAGCGACAGATGGAGATCGAATTTGTAGTACTTCACCAGAGTCTTGAATACGGGTCTCGGATAGACAACAAACATCGATATTAAGACTTTCCAAAGACATAGCCAGCCCTATCTGTTGTCCGACCTGCATAAGTGTGCGAACGTTGAAGGCAGCCAGTTTGAATGGTGCACGTGGTTTCAGAAAAACTGCTTCAGTACTCATATTCGGTGGTAACATACAATTTTCAACCGGACAGTGACTCGAGAACGTTTAGATAGAGTCGAATTTCCACCATAGACGAGCTGCTGTATAAGTCGAAAAATAAGTATACACAGAGTGGGAATAAAAAAGTGAATAAATGACGTAGTAAATAATAATAATTAATAATAATAATAATAATAATAGTAATAATGTGAGTCATTTGATTGTTATTCGGAGCAAGAAGAATATTTTCCATAAATAGACAGTTCACCACTTTTTTTGTGTGGGCTGTGATACTGCCCGGGTGCCAAGACCGAAGCAGGTGGTTTTCTTAGGAAACCTTTTACCTTCCTGATAACTACTAAATAGCACAAAACCAATGTTCGGAATCCCTTTTCGATTTATTACAAACCTCCTTTAAATAAAAGGCATCCCCTACACACATAATAAATCAGTTGAGCTAGTAACCATACAGTCTTGTTTAATTTTTATCCGGAGAATCCGTTTCTTCTTTTCGAATCGTATTCTTTACGATCACAGACATTATCACTTCGACTCCGTTTGCTAAGCAGATCGCTGATTTCATTTAAATGTGTTGATATGTGGCGAATTGAACTGATGTACATCTGTAATAGTCCCTACGTTATTTTTATTAACTCTTTGGAAGTTTAGGAAGTCTTTAGAAGATAGTCATCAAAGAGCGCATGGGATTTTTTACGATTTTGTTTAACACTACAATATTAATTTGTATGTGAAACGTGCTCAAGCAATATGAAACTAACCACTATCAAACCAAGTCTTTAGTACTACTGTTAGAGGTGTTGTTGAGTTATCTGACTGAAGACCAATCCCTCTCTGGACTCGTAGTTACTTACTGACAACCTCCAATGAATTAACAATAAACAATAAAACCCGCAAATCCACTACGGCGGATGACAGAAAGCATCATGGATTTAACGCACATTAGAAAATAATTTAGATAAATTTTCAAACACGAGCTACTGTTCGTCACATAATGTCTCATCACAAATTAGCTATGTGAAAAGCCCTAATGGAATTCCACGTTGAAGGATAATGATCAAACTTAGATAATCATGATATCATCTGTAGAACGAAAGACACATGATTAAAAATACTCATTGAGATGAACTGCGCAATATAAATGTATGAGTTGTATACCTTTGTTTCTGATTTAAGAAGATTATCATCCTAGACATCCGATCGATATTCTTGCTCAAAGAAATAAAAAGTCGAAATAATGCACAAACGCATGACACTGCATGATTATGAAAATAGCAAATTAACGAGGTAGACTAATATATTATAGCGCATATGTTTGCTAAAGAAACATTCGAAATCTAGGTCCCTATTATTACCTATGTCTACAAGAAAAAGTTAGTGATAAAAACTACCTAATTGAAAACTCATAACCATATAATAAAACAAAAAATGATATCAAACAGAAATTAATCTAACTTACAGATGGACCTAAAACTAAACCATAAGGTCCTTCATTTTGAATAAATGGAATTTTCTGTTCTTGATCCATAGAAAATAATATAACTGGTATTGAGAACACCATTGTTTTTCCGGAGCCGGTGAATGCAATTCCAATCATATCTCGACCACTTAATACAGCTGGTAAACCTTGCATTTGAATGGGTGTAGGTTTTGTTATTCCACGTAGTTTTAGTAAATCAATTAAAGCCTTTGGAAAACACATTTCACTAAAATGTCGAATAGGAGCAGGTACATCATCACCTTCAGTTAAAATTCGAAACTTTTTGCGGATTTCTGCAGATTTCTCTTCACTTTGTTCCCGGATATATACAGGTGGTACCCAGCTAAAATAAAAATTATTATTGTTTTACTACTGTACCTGGTTTGAATTGGTTTATCATACTGGATACCTTTTGCTAGTTCTGCAACACCTTTTAAAGCGGTCTTTTCAGCAACACTTTCTAAAATCTTAGCTTCTTCCTTTAATTTTTTATCCCGTTCTGTTTCCTTCCTTTCTGAATTATGTCAACAAAAAACTCCAGACGAACATACCTTCAGCTTTTCGCTTCAATTCCCACATTCTATCAAATAAACTACCCTGGGCATTAGGTCCATGATGTTTGTCATCAGATGATTTTTTTGTCATACCCTCCGGATCATCTTCAACTTGTTCTGCTGTATTACCCTGGTCTAGTTCCTCCTCAGGCACTTCAGTGTACGCAAGATTACCTAATACACGCTGCAGTGAAGTAAGCTGAAGTGGGAGAAATCGAATACTTATGACTAATGAAACTAGTGGTACAGAAACTTTATTACTAACACAAAACTACGTTTATACGTCTGGTATAAGCAAACAGTTCGTTTTGATAACTTAGTGATTAAACTCTGGAGAACATTATTTTATGCAAAGGGTGATGATATTACCCAGTTTTTTTAGATTTAAATGGGTGAAATGAGACTCGAACCTGAGATCGAATGCTTGAAATTCAAACCCATCAGTCCTTAAACCGTTGAGCTCGTCTAGTTAATATACAAAACGAGCCTCATTTTAATGGCTGGACCTAAACACGTCCAACAGTGTATATATGGATCAGTAGTTTTGACAGAATTGTAGGTGTTTAAACCATATTTTATTTTTATCGATTTGAACAAGTCAGCAATATCTTCCTAGTTCTGGTACGATAAAAGTGATTCAAAACCAAAACAATAATTCGTAATCAGTTGATGGGTTACCCAAGTTCCTCAATAATTTTCGAAAGGGTAAAGAGATCAAATCTTATTTGGGCATTACCAAACCAAGTATCATAAAACTGAAAAAGTGACCGAAGCGGCAATCTGTTCAGACTTTAGACTCAATATTTTCCTAAACATGTGTTTATTGTTATAAATTTTCCTGTTTTGGAATTTCTTAAACTCACTACGTCAGTTAACCACATGTACTCACGTGCTTTCACGAAACGTTCATAACCTATCGCGAATCTAGTCACTGACAAACTCAAGGAGCACCATAATAGTAGTTCGTATATTCCCTTCCTGGTTTTTTTTTGGAGAAACGAGAGTGCTTACTGCAAGATTCACATAAAAAACCGATCTGGTGATGAGATATTATGAGTACAAGCCTGATCATAAATATTTATGACCATGAATGCCAGTTAGTTTTTTTAATATTTACGAGTTAAATGATCATAAAAAGGGAATATCTGTGAAATCCCGCGAACTTCGTGCTGAGAATTCACTATAATCAAGATATGGTATTAAATAGTGCGAGTATAACAACTATTATTTTTGCCATTATAATAATTATTATTATAAATGGTAACTATTCGGGCTTGAAACGGCCTTTTGGTCACCTGTAAAACTTCTAAACAGAAGCAGTCAAACAAAATTATCTGATATTGGATTGAACTGATGTATGTATTTAAATGAGCGAACAGTCACTCAACAAATATTTAATAACAAACAATTTTGTCTGGATTTCAGCTTATTGTTTATCCACCCGATACCACTAGAAGTACATTTTTAACAGGCGAGGGATGAACTTCATCCCACTTATCTCGGGTTGAGAAGCTTATGTTAAATGTATCTCAAATCACATTGAATGAACCGATAGCTAATTATTGCGACAAAAACTAATTCATGATGATCTTAAATAAAGCAAGAACAAATATTGGTGCAGAATAGTATGAATTCATATTAATTCGAGGTTTCTCGTCAGCTGCTTACAAACCAAAAAATGTGATAGAATTTTTACATTGAGATAGAGTGAAAACAAATGACATAGATGAGTGTAAATAACTGGGTTACAATAATAACTCTCTTTGTTAAAACAAATAAACGTAAGTACAATAGACTGATATGATATTACAGTAAGAAATATAGTCGAAACGAACACTTGATATCAACCATAGAAACAAGAACCAACATATTTTGAAGTTGTATACCGAATCTGATATTAGACAGTTTTACTTTTCATTTTAACAGAAAAAGCCCACACTAAGTTTCACAAATACGGTCCAAGCTTAGTAGGTGACTATGACGTAGACAAAATAAGCAGAACAACTTCCGAGAGGTAGTCCGAAGTTGAGCATCAATCCTAAGATCTTAGTAATAACTCGTTCCGTCTGATGTTTACATAACCAGTCGAGTTAGCGATTGATACACCAACTTCTTTTTAGGATTCACATTACGATCAAATGCATATCAACTATTTGCATTTTGCCAGGGAAGTCCTACTTACTGTTGTTTACGAAAATGAAAGGACAAAAAGCGGATGCCTGGAGCTTTAATCGGGATGGTCGATATGGAGGACCCATCTATGGGAGTTGGGAAACTCTGGTTCCAAATCAATGGTGCAAATGGGCTCCAGGATCTTAAAGGAACAAATGGCGTATAAATAACTGTTGGTCACCAGCTACCATGGGATTACATCTCCCTACGTTGCTTCACTGCCTTGTGGATTAAGCCTTTAAGTCGAAGGCTCTGAGTGTGGCCCCTAAGAAAATCAACTCCTTCGATCTGGGCACCCAGGCAGTATTCAAGCCCTCACACAAATCTAATGAGTGAAACACTTATTTATATTGTTTAAAAACCAACTACTTTCTATGGTAATCCAAACATAAGAATATTCAGCTTTTCGTAGTCTCCTCAAACATTTAAAACTGAGGATTATTATCAAATATAACACCGAATGAAAGATGAAGCACATTACCTCCTGTTGTTTACGTTGCTTCACTGGTATATAAGGAACATAATCATCGTCCGACAAGTTAGATGATTCGTCTGACTTGTCCAAATGTCGTGGCTAAAAATAAGGACAAAATTTTGGTCCCATTAATATACACAAAAAAGTCAGCATATTTTGTTTCCACTTCCAATAAAAATACTTATTAGGTGAATTAGAAGTTGCTTATCAAACACACTGAAGTTGTTCGCAGCCTATAAACAAAAGCACCAAATCCATAGGCATACTCTAAACCATAAAGTATGACCGTAATCTAGAATCACGCTTTATTGCTAATATAGTATTAGGGTAAATAGAAATGAATTCGGACCTAAAATGTTATAGGTGAAAGTGTGTAAACCGCAAACCACAACTCCGATTGTAGAGAACAGAACACAAGTGATTATTAACTTAGTCTCAACATGACTTGATAACATCTATACCTAAACAGTGTTACTGAGTCGCCAGGATGCCAATAGTAGATTTTCAACTCAATAGCCCTCATTCATTGAATTTCAAGCCCGAACTCCATCCCACTTCGATTGCTGCAATTTTCAGCCTGATTTAATATAGCTTGGTAACTAAGAGCAGTTTTGTACGCCCAACTTTGAGCAACAACTTTTAGAGTGAGACGGAATGATTTTACTCAAGCTTTTCAAACCAGTGTAAGCAGACGATGTTTGGACCTACAACTCGAATGCCGAAGGTTGAGTGACTTACCAACTACAAACTACTGTATTCTGGTAACCCTATAGCACCATTTTAAGTTACAAAAAGCTAAGTATAACAGCATTTAATAGGCCAACGAATTGAAATTAAATCTTAAAGTATGAGCCACATGGAATCCACACACTATTTAGACGAAGTTAGAAGAATATCAAGGTGAGGGAAGAAGTCCATAGTCAACGAGATGATCTCGGGTGCAGACAGAGGGATGAGGGCGGCTGTCACTGCCCCATTTTTCACACTGTGGAAGGATACCTCTTCTTGAGGGACCTGAAGAAGAATTCGAATCGATGGTGGTCTTAGCGACCTGGGACCGTGACCGCAGAGCCCAGGGCACAATTGCTTGAGGTCGATCGCTCAAGGTCTTTTTAAGGCAAATTTTTGGTGTGTCGGCTCTGCACTACAAAAGGCCTTACCGCTAGAGGCGGTGATAAGGAAGCATCGTAGCATATACTGATTGTCCAAAGGAAACACCTTACTGCAAGTCATGTCTTCTGAGTGAAATTTGTTGATACTGTTTTTTTCCCAGAACTTATTAGAGGATAAGAGACCGAAGTCGGCGACTCCGTGATTACATCAAGTGATTGAGGAAAAGTAGTCCTATGGCTAACAACTGTAAGAAAATAAAAGATACTGACATTAATGCCCCTAATTTGTTGTTATTTGTCTTCTAACTGACCAAAGTAGAGCCTCAGTCGCTAAAACCGAATAGTAATCAATACGGCTTAGATATTAAGACATGTCATTGCAATCAAACTTTCTGTTATGGTGGGACTTCAAGGAATGCTTTAACTCATATAACTTGATGCAAGTACGGTAAGAGAGGCCAACGACCACATACCAACGGTCAATTATCTTTGATTGGAAGTTTTAGCGTTTTCGAGAATTATAATGGATCATATCAAAGGTTTCACTAAAGCACTTAAATGAGATGTCAATAGAAACGACATTAAGTACGGTTACAAGTTAGATTACGTTTGCAAAGGAGTTTGTTAAGCGAAAATGACCAACATAAAAGATGTCGTTTCAGGAAGAAAAAGACTTTCTCTTCTGCGTCTTAAAAAATCACTTTGACGATTTTAATGATAATATCGCGCAATAATTAATCACTACATGACTATCCCAACTTGTTAACCTGATTAGAGCACTTTTGTAGCTTTTTGAAATACTCAGAAACTTAATTCCATTCTCTATGAACGACTAAATCTGAAAATATTGAAATTATGACACAGTGATAAGACTATTACTTTGGCAAAACGCATTAAGTTCATCTGGAGACAATGGAAACAAGGTCATCATAAAAAGCAGCCTAAATAACGAACTAGTGGTCCAAACGTGTTCTTAAACATGACTCACTCATGACTGATAGCGAAGTATCAATTGACTAGTCCATACACACCATATTTCCCCAATAATTATTTACATACCTTATCATACGATTAACTCAAACCCTAACAAGAACACTATGGTAACTGAGTTAATGAAGGAATCAAATAACAGAAATGGTATTTTGACAAATATTTATGGTTATATTTGTGCTTTTCATTAGGAACGATTAATGTACTAAAGTATTAACGCATTCATATGCGCGTTTTCATCCACTTTAGATGGAACATAAAAATTTAGTGACAGTACTAACTACTTTAAATTCAGTCGACCAGGCTCCCTAACATGGTTGTCTTGTACGTAAACTGAAGTGAGGCAGTTAACGTCAGGATTGATATTCACCTACAGAGAAAAAAATTTTGCTTAGAAGTCCCAAGTTTTGCTTAGCCATATGAAAGTTGATATTTACTATGTTCGGACTGTCCCCAGAAGATACAAATTTCCTGTCGTGACAAAAACCAACAAACTTTAAGTTAAATGACTAACAGAAGCCTATGTGATATAATTAACTTAATTATAACCTACAAATCAAATACCTTTTATCTTAAGAGTAAGCTTTTAGTTGCGCTAGAATTTCGAAGTTTAGTAGTCAATTAGGATGCATTAGTACATTCGATGTCAGCTATGAATATCCAATTACATAGTACTTCAGATTCACGTATTGACCTATGAGATCTACGCAAAAGAATCAGTCTTTCCATTTTATTTTATTTACTAGCTTTATAAAACATACTGGATGCAACCTTAAGCACCGTCCTTTCAATGAACACACATATGAACCGAATCTTGTGTTTGAAAATTGATACCTGCATATATACGTGCGCAAATGATTAAAATTTATGTGCATTTAGTATATGGGTAAAAACTCATTATTACAATAATTTGACTGAAACTATTTGAGATCTTGACCACACAACTGCGTTCACTGTCATCAAGAAACAGTTTTAAAAAACTATGATTAACCTCGGACCTTAAAATGCAGTGACATCTTCTGAAGCATCAAAACTAACGTATATACTAAATACCAGTCAAAAACAGAAGTTGGTATCACAAGTAACTTGTCAATCTACAAGAGCACAAACACATCACTATACCACTATAAACCAAAAGTGCTGAACAGTAGCCAGGATCGAAGAATTAGATCTTCATAAGAAATTACCTGCATCAAAGTGGTTGGAAATCCAAGAAACAAACGGAACCTTGGCCAAATCCCGCGCTATAACCCCCCCCCAATATTTGCCTTCCGTGGGTGTGTTACTGTTAGACAATCATATACATGTACACCCGATGAAGGTTGTAACGACAAAATAACAACCTCAATTTTTTCGTTATCTGTGGCGCTTTATGTGTAATCACATTTATATTCCATATCTGTTGTTTCTCTGTACCGTTTGTAAAACGGATATAATCGGCGGGTTAATCAAAACTCACGCTACCGTCATTATTCACAACATGTGATTGAAGATCATAATAGTATTATAACATCCTTTTAGGCCACGCTTCACTGCGTTGAAATAGGCTTACTTGCGTTTCTTTGAACGTTTTCCGAAAGCTAATTGACTTCCTAAACATGAACCAGCCAACTGTATTCAGTACTCGAGTTTAGGACAAGCGAATGCTGTACGTAAAGTCAAAAAAGTTTTGGTATCAACGTGGATAAAGTCCCTATGTATTGACCATAGGACTCTAAAACCTTTGGTAGCTAGTTCATTGCATTGTGCATTACTTCTCAAGTTTTCTTTGTCCATAACTTCTAGGTAGCTCAATGTCACTCGTCATGTATGTTTCCGTACATTGATGACCAGTATGTATCAGATGCACTTGGAAGCATTTATCAGCAACTGCCGAATTCCAGACCAATCAGACAAAGCTGTGGGTAATTTCGAAGCTTCAAACTATAACCATTTTTATCGCTCTCCATATCTTGAAATTATCAGCAAATGACCAAACCGGTGATGATAAGTGACCAGAACTGTCATTCGCATATAGGAAGAACAACACTGGCGGCAAAAATGTACCCTATGGCACTCCGCTAAGCACAGTTTACCGGATAGGCAACTTGAAGACAATCTGCACTCTTAGTTGGCATACAATAAGGGAATCATTTGTCCACATAAATTAGTTGTCTTCAATCCCGATAGGCCTCAGCTTAGATAACAGCCGATTGAGCGGAAATTTGTCAAACGCTTCACAGAAGTCAATGAAGGCTACGTCTATAGTTAACTTTTGATTTTGAGGGCGAACCAACTTTTACAAGGTACTAGTACGCCTGCGAGGCACGAATTACCTGTGTCTAAAGCCATGATGCTTATCAGAAGGAATTTGATTTTCGTCTAGATGCTCAAACAACTTTTAGATAATCTTTTCTAAGTTTATTTCAGCCACGCTGTTGGGCTTACGGGTTGATATTTCTCAAGTTTGTTTTTCGTACCTGTAATTAAGATAGGACTTACACTGACGTTCATCCAGTCTTCTGATAACCTGCCTTGGGTTACAAGTAGACTAAAACACATCCATAAGGGGTTCGCGATAAAGTGTGCTAGTTCCTTTAGAGTCTAAGGTGCATTTTGTCGGATACTATGGATTAACCGATGTCAAGCTTACTTAGTGAGTATGGGAAGGCTTGTATAAACCTATGGGAAGGGTATCTCTGAGATATACGCTTTGCTAAAATCCTTCTTTACAAAGTTCGTGTAAGACTTATCGTTGAATACTGCTCGTTCTTATTTTCCAACCTACGCCTATCTGATATACTAAAGGTGGAAGGAATACAACGAGACTTCACCCGCAAAGTACTTAAGACTGACTCAGTCATTGACTACAGTACCCGATGCCAAGTCTTAGGAATAGCACCCCTTTGGGAGGGAAGGCTTAGATCTAATTTGATTCTCTACTTTAAACTACTCAAAAACCTTACTTATTCAACACATAAGATAGTTCTTGCTAGAGATTCACATGAATACGAACTTCGAAACAAAGTATCTACGGTCAAGGTTGAGAAATACAGATCAAAAACTCGGGAAAACTTCTTCCTCACCAAGTATGCAATAATATGGAACAGTCTTCCCTCCGAAATACGCATGGCAGATGAATTACATACGTTTGTAAACTGCTTGATCAAGCCCTCACTCGCACTGATCTTGCACATACGAACACATCTGTGCCCCACTCAGACATCATAGGCTCTCTCCATGTCTAGACCAAAATGGACTTCAAGTTCAGTTTGCCTTATTTTTTCTACTTTGCAGTTGTATTAATTACTTTTTCCACCCTAATTTTTCACTTGAAGTAGACAGGTAACTCACTGGACCTATCATTACTGTTAAACTAAACTCGGTCGATAAGGGACACTCACTACCACCCTAAAAAGTCAAGAGGACCGCACAATCGGCTGCCTACTACCAGTGGTCTTGCATCTATGAGGCCTGTTACCAATCAACTGGTTAGGAAAACACAAAATAACATCAGCACCAAGTTACTGTGAGTTTCTTCCTGTTTATCCTGTATTAACTTTTTACTCTTCTGTACACTATGTTGACTAGCAATTAATATTATTTCTCCATTCGTTACCTTATCTACAACTCATAAACTTCTATACTTCTCCACCTGCTTTGATAACTAACTATCCTACATTATACTCTTTTAAATGCTTATACTCTGATTGGCGAACTATACTTTATACCGTAATCAATTAAAGCACTGCGTCGATGCCTTACCCACAGTCCATAACTTGTAACTGCCTGATAAGCCCGTAAAATGGTACCTATAGAAATAGTGTTTTCCAACAGAGGATTGAGTGAGGTATGATATATATCCACAAATAAGCCTAAATGAGCCTAACATCACAAAAGGAGGGAGGGTGGAGTTACTGACCAGCAAGCATTGATGGTGAGGGCGATAACTTCAATCCACCCGTGTTTGTGGGGACAGAACATTTTGTATGTATCAGGCTCTTTATAATTGAGAATAAGACAGTCAATCTAAGATATAAATTGTCTTCCTACGCTCACCACTCAGACTCATGTTTCCAATAATATGCTGGATTAGCTATTCTACTAAGACAACCTATAACATGCTAACTCGGACTTTTACACTAGGATTGCGTGGCTGACATCGGATGGACAAAAAAAGAAAAGAAAAAAGACAATAAAAGATATAGTCACTAGTATTCTTAACACTTCACCCTCTATATACACACCCTTCTAATAAACCACTTCCCTTCCTTCATATGAGCTTACTCCAACTTGTTAAACATCACAACTCGTTGTTCTTTATTAGTACATTCTCTAATATGGAGCCTCTGACTTCACTTCACTCTAACAAGACATTATATGAATTTATTCTAATTTATTATACCTCTGTCCGTTCTACTACACAATGTTAAGCAACCTTTGGCGTTCATATCCAAGTGCCTTGCTGCTCTTCTGTTTCTCTTTTTTTTCTCCTTCAGAATCTTGCTCTGAGAGCACAGCTATGAAACTTCTGACGTTTGGAGCAAACTTGACGTACGCGTCCTCTCAAGGTCATAGTTTACAGCAAGCGCTCTACGATTTCACTTTATAACAACTATAAACTTAATAAGTTGGGAAGCATTTTGCGAACCAACAAATGTTGTAATTTATAGATCATGCCTGTAAAAACGGTGTGTACCTGCACATGCAGAAATATATTATTATCATTATTATTATTTAAGCTGGTACATCTTTATTAACAAAGGTATAAATATTAAGGAGTGGAACTTCATGGTCACTCCTTCCTAAGGGTAGCATATAATAGAGGCTTGTGACGTCATTTTCATAATGGGTCAACACGAGACCTATTAAAGATGATTTGTAGTCCAGGTCGTATCTAGTTGCTTATTTCATATGGTGCTCAGGGCGTGCTTTTGACAGAAATAATTTTCTGACAATCCATTTCTAAGACTTTTCTAGTCTACTGTAGGTGCGTTAAGGTCTAATGAGGTTCATGGCTAAGAAGGCAGTGAAGAGGAAAGTATTTCTAGACGGGGCCATGTTTAGCTAACTTGTTTTTGATGCACTTAGAACTCCACAGTAATCAATTTTTAACTTCTATTGCCATATCGGCTAGAGTTAATGTCTGAATACGGATAATTGTTGTCCGTTGTTTTAATATTGGATGTAATCACATTTTATTCTTCTACAAGGTCGTTGGGGTGCAGTTGATCTGTTTTTTAACCCTTTAGGATTTGACAGAGCTCTTTAATATTCCTATTTTGTGTTTGACTTATTAGTACTTTCGTGAAGATAGGCACGATAAACCTATTTTGTAAATAGTTTTTCTAACCAATTCAGAACCTGGCGCTAATTTCCTAAGCGTTTTAAACATGTAGCAGTGAACAAATCCCTTAGATAAATAGTCCTGTTAATATCTGGTTTTGCTGAACACCCCCAGCTAGAGGCCCTCAGTCAAGAAACCTCACTAGATCATAATCAGATATGCTGTGTTACTCGTCCCTCATAGTAAATAGTCAGCTTAAATCATGTACTCCTCTATACATCAACCATTTCCCATATATATCTCCGAAACCCTTAATTCCTGACTACCGATATTACTTGCTTTGGAATCCTCGGTTAGAAAGATGTCACGGAAAATATCGTTATGAAGTACTGGATATGTGTGATGCAGAGATTAATCACTATGTGTGTATCTCTAGTTTGATTCGCTTTCTGATTCGTCCAAAATACCCATCCCGTATATCATCTTCCGCCTTCGCACCATTACAAACCGTTCGAGAAACTGTATTATCGTCCCACAGTGATGCGAAGTTCCACTGAATAATTACACTCAGGTCACAAATTGATGTCAAGGGATTATGTTTTCTAAGATTCTTCTTCGTTTCGGTCTGGAAATAATGCAGTGTGGACTTACACGTGGTGACCCAGATGCAATAGGATTCTCAGCTAACCCTAATTTCCTTCAGGCATACAGACAAAACTGGCTGCGGTCCCATGTTTAGTCAACGACTTTTATTTGCTTATGATTCGACAAAGAAGTCGGTTTTAATTATTCTGCGAAATTTCGGTAAAACAGTTTCGGACACCAGCGTGAAGTGTTCTTGTCTGTTTGTGAAAATCCCGACATGAAGGCGTTTCATGTAACAATAATGCTACGCCTTACTTTCAAGGGTAAAGCCTTCATTTTCGA